TTCAAATGTATTTGAAATTGAATCTACATATAAGGGGTGGTTGTCCACATGGCATGGTATGAGAGCATCATTGAGCTATGTCACTATACAGCAAAATAGTACTCTATGTCACCGAATGTACACAATTCTTTTTATATTAAAAAATTAACCAAAATTTTAAAAATAGTACTTTTATTTTATCGAAATTAAAAAATAGTACTTTTATTCCATCATTAAGCATCTTACTTTTTAACTCAAGCATCATAATTAATTTGGTTTCTATAAGTTATGATGGAACAATTATAGTGTACTTAATTTAATTACCTCCATGATAAAGAGATTCGAATCTAAAGTATTCTTATTTGTAAGAACTTCGAATTGCACCTTGACATTCTAGTCTCATTATGATTGACGTGTGATTCCCATAACATTAATTATGCACTGTATATAGCAGATAATTTATATGGTTTTGTCTTGTATGAATTATGTGGCACTGCTATGATGGATTGTGGTTTCAATAATTGCAGTGTTCTGCGATGTTTCATCAGTGTTTGTTTGTATTGATTTGATTGTGATTCCTTACTAATAGTTTTTTTTTCTTTCTTACACGGTATCATAAGTTCCCAACTTTGTGGATTTTTAGTCACATCTGAAGCAGTCCCTTTTTTTTTTTTTTTTTTTTCTTCCTTTAAATTTCTTTTTTGGGGTCACATGAATCTTCCGAATATGTTAAGTTTAACCATTGCAGGTCATTCATGAAGGTCATCAGAAAGCAATAAAAAGATAAAACTTTAAGAAAATAATAATAAAATAAAATAATAAAAACTATTACTTGGAAGGTAGGTAGGTATATATATAAAAAAAAACACCAACAAAACAAGAAAACAGCTTATATGAAAAATAAAATAAAATAAAACTAGTGAATTATTATTTCTGGAAACAGAGAAGGAACTTGTTTGAACCATATCGGGGAAACAATTAAAGTGGACTGCTTCAAGATGTCATGTAAGTATCGTCCTCTCTAGAAAAATAAAACCGAAGTTGGGAACTTGTTTGGACCAAATCACTTTTGCCTTGAAATTTCATTTCATTTTGTGGGTCTTGGTAATTTCACTTTGGCAGTATATTTCACGTTTTTCCTCTTGACTTTTATATGGTCATTGGACGTGTTCATCTCTTTTTTGGGGATTCCCTCGTTTCTTCTTCCGTGTGTTTTGGCCCTGTTTTGTGTGGAAATTGTTTTGGCACCACCACAGTGTACAGTACAACAATGTTTCATCATTGATTGTTTGTTTGTACTGATTCCTTCTTATTAATGAAATAGTTAGAGCATTTATAATGGGCTCCTTAAATCACATTCTTAGACAAATTTTAGGGAGGATCTGGACAAATTCAACTCCAACTATGCTCCTTATCCACCTCTAGGAGCTCCTAAATCTGAGGAGAGAGAAATGACTCCTAGTTGCTTCTTATAATTTAATGCTGCCTTATTTAATGAGTATTTCAAACCTTTAATTAATGTTTATTATTATTTTATTTATTTAATAGAGATAGACCAATTAAAAAAGAATTATAGCATTTATAACTCCCTAAACTAGAAAGCGTGATTGGAGCTCCTAAAATAAATTTTGTATGTTTTTAGTTAAAATTTAACTAAAAAATAGAGAGCATGATTGTGGATGCTCTTGGAGTTTTCTTTCATTCATTGTTTCATCGGTAAATTAAAGTTAAAAAAAAATGTATTGTTAATCATTAAAAAGAAATAATAAATTTTTTTAAAAAAATAATACTGTTTTGAGGGTTTTTTCTTTGTGAAACTCCCTACTAAAATAGTGTGGGACTCCAGTTTCAGTGGGGTATTGGACGTGTTCAGCTCTTTCTTTGGGATTTCCTTGTTTTTTCTTCAATTTCTTGCCCTGTCTTTTGGCTCTTTAGTTTGATTCTTTAGTGACTTAGATTCCAATTGTGTGGTTTTCTTTGGTCAACACAACCACGCGGACATAGAGTTTTCCATCTCTCTCTGTCGCTTTCTGTCTCTTTCTCTCTTCCATTATTTCCTTTCCTACGTCCCCTACCCTGCTTTCATTATCTCCATTGTGTTTTTATGAATTAATTTTGGGTTTGTGCTAAAATATATTTGAAATTTATTATTCGCATAAAGTTTCCAAGTTGGTGGTTCTCTCTCTCTCTCATTATTTGCTTTAAATTTCCTTTCACTTTTTTTTTGGTGGAAAATATTTTTCCTTTCTTTTTGGTAAAACACTCTCACGTATATTTTTTTTTTTTTTTTTTTCGGTTTCTTAACCTTAACCCTTGTGGGTATTATTGGACATGTTCAGAGTTAAGCTCTTTCTTGGGGGTTTCCTTGCTTCTACTTTAGGAAATTCACACGTAATGTAAATTTCCTTTTTCCTCTTGAGAGTTTATTGTGCTATGATGTTCATATCCATTCAACTCACTTTAATAGCCATTCAACTTATCTGTGGTTTCAATAATTGCAGTTTACTAATAGTTTTTTTTTTTGGGACATTTTGGAAAAAGCAAAAGGAGAGAGAAAAATTTTAAAAGAAGCAAAAATGGACGAAAATGCCCTTATTTATTTTTAGATTTCCTAAGAAATCCAATACATTTGCATGTTTTTGATTTGAAAGTTGAGTGATTTTTTGTCTTTTTTGAAAAAGTTTTGGCTTTTTCCAAAAGTGAAAATTTTTTTATGTCTAAAACCTAAAAAACCTTTTTTTTTTTCTTTCTTACATGATATCATAAAGTTCCCAACTTTGTGGATTTTTAGTCACATATGATCTGAAGCAGTGCCTTTTTTTTTTTCTTCCTTTAAATTTATTTTTTGGGGTCACATATGAATCTTCCGAATATGATAAGTTTAATCATTGCAGGTCATTCATGAAGGTCATCAGAAAGCTATAAAAAGATAAAACTTTAAGAAAAAAATAATAAAATAAAATAAAAAACTATTACTTGGAAGGTAGGTAGGTATATATATATATATAAAACACCAACAAAATAAGAAAACAGCTTATATGAAAAATAAAATAAAATAAAACTAGTGAATTATCATTTCTGGAAACAGAGAAGGAACTTGTTTGGACCATATAGGGAACACAATTAAAGTGAACTGCTTCAAGATGTCATGTAAATATCTTCCTCTCTAGAAAAATAAAACCAAAGTTGGGAACTTGCTTGGACAGTATATTTCATGTTTTTCTTCTTGACCTTTAATGGTCTTGGTCATCACTTTTGCCTTGAAATTTCATTTCACTTTGTTGGTCTTGGTTATCACTTTGGCAATATATTTCACGTTTTTCCTTCCTTTCCTTTTTTTTTTCCTTGACTTTTGTGGTCATTCGACGTGTTCACTCTTTCTTGGGATATTTCTTTGTTTCTTCTTCAATTTCCAGCCCTGTATTTTGGCTCTGTTTTCAGTGGAAATTGTTTTGGCACCACCACATAATATAATTTTTTCTCTCTGGAGAGTTTACTTTTTGGGTTTTGTAGAGAATGTGGTACCAACCTTTGAACCCAAGACCACTATGAGTTAGTGCAAGCGCACTTAACCACAAGGGTAGGTAGAAGGCCAGTCTAGAGAGTTTACATTGGTTTGCTATGATGATGATTAGAGAATTTGGTTGAGGAACTTATATTTACAGTGTGCATCATGTTAAGAGTGTTTGTCCCACATTGAAAAGTTAAGGGACTAAGCCTTGGTTTATAAGGTGTTGGGCTACTCCATCCATTGCCAATTGGTTTTGGGGTGGAATCTCAACTTCCTTCATGATACCAGAGCAAGGCTTCACGTGTTGGGCCCAACGGCCACACGTGCTCCCATGTCACCCAATATGTGTTGTCCACGTGTTAGGCTTGAAAGTTCTCCACACATGCGGGGGGTGTTGAGAGTGTTTGTCCTACATTGAAAAGTTAAGGGACCAAGCTTGGGTTTATAAGGAGTTGGGCTACTTCCCCCATTGCCAATTGGTTTCGGGGTGAAACATCAATAATAATAAAAATAACTGTTTTATAGATAGTGTGGTTGGACTCCATTATGCCTTTTTTTGTACACATGAAAATATTAATGCAACTAGACAATTAGGATACATGAATTGTAATAATCAAAACAAACAATTTAACTTTATAATGTCATCTGAATTTCTAGAGTTAGAAATCGCTTCATCCAATTAAACATTTTATAATGTTTTTGAAATCTATTATTCACGTATAATACGGATAGTAACTACCTACCAAAATATGGAGTTTGGTACACATCCATACTTTTCTTGGGTCAAAAAAGAAATCATTCACCCTTTGACAATGTTTCCAATTTGGTCACCACGACGCAGTATTCCATATCTCTCCCTCTCGCTTACGGGTAAGCTCTCTCTTGGGGATTTCCTCGCTTCTTTAGTTTTTTGTCCTGTCTTTTGAGTCTCTTTCCTGTGCAAATTGTTTTGCCACCACATGGAAAATTCCATTTTTTGACTTGTGCTATGATATTAATTAGAAAAAGGGGAAATTGGTCGCTTTGTCTTCGGATTGAATAAAATTGGTGGTTTCATTCATGAATTGAAGTTTATCTTTTTATTGCAAAAAAGAAAAGAAAAGACACCAGACCCACGGGCTCTACCACCCACAGAAAAAAATAGAAAGTGTGTTCACTACCCTCTCTCTGTTTTTTTGGGGTGGGTTTTTGAAGGGATTGGTTCTTGTGGTTGTTTTCTTGCCAATTCTCTGGCTTTGTGATTTGTTAATTTGTTGTTCTGCTGAGATAATGTTTGAGTTGGTGTGTTTTGTTGGCATGACTTGTAGACTATTGACTTATGTTTTTTTCACATTAAGAATTCCTATTATAATTGTAACTGATTTACTTTAATTCCTGATTTCCTACCGTAAATAGAAATATGAATTTATTATTTACCTGCCCATTAAAGTTTCGTTGTACTATAAATATGACCTCCTACAAGGAGAAGAATACATATAAAATTTCCACAAATAAATATTCTCTCACAGTTCTCATATTTTAGCATGGTATCAAAGCGGCGATCTTGGAATTGCTGACTCTAGTTTCAAAACCCCATCGCCGCTGAGCTGTTGTTTGAGTTGCTGCATTTCCATTTCATTAATCTCTAGTTTGTTTTGCTAGGTATTTGCTCTCTTCCCTTCTTCTCTTTTCAATTACCCAAAAGAAAAATTAAAGCTACCATTTTCATTTTATGTATTTCCTGAGTGTTTGCCGAACCATATTTCCAGGAACTGTCTTTTTCTCATGGCCTTGAGCACCCAAAGAGCCTCTGCATCTCGTACTTCAGCTGAATGGGCTCCTCCCCATTGGAAGCATGATGTCTTTTTGAGTTTCAGGGGTGAAGACACTCGCAGTGGTTTTCTATCCCATTTATACCATGAACTGTACTGGCAAGCAATTAAAACTTTCAAGGACGACCGAGACCTTGAAATAGGAGCAACTATTTCTTCTGAGTTGTTGACCGCAGTCAAAGAATCACATCTTGCCATCATTATTCTCTCCCCAAATTACGCTTCTTCCGCCTGGTGCTTGGATGAACTTTCCAAGATTCTTGAATGCATGCAAGACACCAAGAGAATTCTACCAATCTTTTATCACGTGGATCCTTCCGATGTACGAAATCAAAGGGGGAGTTTTGCGGAAGCCTTCACTAAGCATGAAGAAAAGTTTAGGGTGGTGAATTGGTGGAGAGCTCCTTTAAGAAAAGTAGGCAATCTCTTCGGGTGGGATTCAAAGCATGAAGAGTTTAGTGGAGATGTAGAGATGGTGAATCGGTGGAGAGCTGCTTTAACAAAAATAGCCAATATCTCTGGGTGGGATTCAAAGAATTATCCGTAAGCATGCATGGATTAACAACTTGCTTGTTTCTTAACAAGAGCTCTACTTGGATGTTACGTTTCAGTTCTTGCCTTAATCAATAACCTTGGATGTTATATTTATGAATTAATGGTTATTTTAATTTTCTTCCTTGTAGGTCGGAAGCAGAGCTTATTAAACACATTGTCAAATATGTGTTTAGGAAAGTGCATCCAACGTTCATGTTGTCAGGTTCTCTAGACAAGTTAGTCGGGATTGATTCTGCACTTGAGCAACTACATTTGCAATTAGCTCCCAAAGATAATGATGTTCGCTTTATAGGGATATGGGGGATGGGCGGGGTAGGCAAAACAACCCTTGCTAAGCTAGTTTTCGAGAGAATTTCCCATCATTTTGAACTTAGCTGGTTTCTATCTAATGTGAGAGAGGTTTCTGGAAAGCAAGGTGGTCTAGTTAATCTACAAAGACAAATTCTTTTCCCAATCTTGAAAGAAAATGTTGCCTATGTTGGGGATGAAGAAGCCGGAACCCTTTTCATTCAGAACCGTTTATGGAATAAAAAGGTTCTTCTCGTGCTTGATGATGTGGGTCAACTAAACCAATTAGAAAAACTGGTTGGAAATAAAAAATGGTTCGGTGTAGGGAGTAGAATTATCATCACAACTAGGGATGAGCGTCTACTAGTTGAGCATGGTATAGAGAAACTGTATAAGGTCGTTGTATTAAAGGATGATAAAGCTCTTGAGCTCTTTTGTCGACATGCCTTTAAGAAAGATCAGCCTAAGGAAGGTTTTCAGGAACTGTCACGGCATTTCCTAGATTATGCCAAAGGCCTTCCATTAGCTCTTAAAACTTTGGGGCGTGCTTTGTATGGGAGAGATCAAGATGCGTGGAAGAGTGTGTTGCATAATCTAAACAAAATTCCTGATCCAGATATTTTTGATTCACTCAAAGTAAGCTATGATGGACTAAAAGAGATGGAGAAGAAAATTTTTCTACATGTTGCGTGTCTCCATAGAGGGAAGAATAAAGAGCAAGTAATTCAAATACTAGACTGTATCCTTGACATTTCCAGTCATATTGAGATTGATATTCTTATTGAGAAATCTCTCTTAACTATTGAGAAATGCCACTTTCGTAGCAATATTGTTGAGATGCATGATTTGATACAAGAAATGGCATGGAAAATTGTTCGTGAAGAGTCTCCCGAGCCTAGTAAACGCAGTCTTTTGTGGCATCACAGTGACATTTCTCATGTATTCATGAACAATACGGTAAGAAGTTATTTAGAGATACTATATATACTTGGACCAAAATATATGCCATTTTTCAAAGAGATTTTCTATTTAAACCCCATACTTCTCTTAGTTCACCTCATGTTCTAAGTTCACCCCTACTTTTAATTTAAATTTTCAAAATTTCCAAGAAAACCCCACTATCTTTCCAAACTACCCTTAAATACACCCCAAACTGAAAAATTAAGAATTAAAAGAGATTTTCTATTTAAACCCCACAATTTTCTTTGTTCCCAACAAAAAAAAAACACAAACAAATGAAACCCTAAATCCGAAATTTAATATCTAGAGGAAGAGAACAGCTTTACCTCTCTTCAAGGATTGTAACTGGAATTCTAACACTTGGGTATTGTTGAGTTGAGAACTTGAGAGAGAGAGAGAGAGAGAGAGAGAGTTTGTAAACAGGAAGTTGGAAGGATGTTTCTAAAACTTAATATGAAGAGTGGTGGAGTGTGTGGGGTGTGTGTACTAGGGTTAATTATTAAGTTCGATGACCTTTTTTGTCTTTTTACACAATAATAAAACTTACAGCTTAATGATTTAAATATTGGGGTGAACAAAGAGAAGTGCGGGGTTTAAATAGAAAATCTCTTTTTCAAATGAGAAGTTATTTAGAGATATTAGACTTTAATGAGATGAGATGAATTAACTTTTTCCTTTTTCTTAATTATATATATTAGGGAACAGGAGCAATTGAAGGCATGGTCCTAGCTCTGCCCAAATTAGAAGAAGTGCCCTGGAATTGTACTGAAGCCTTCAATGAGATGCACGGGTTAAGGCTCCTTCACTTTGATAATGTGATGTTTTCTTCAGGCCCTAAATTTCTTCCAAATTCCTTAAGAATTATCCATTGGAGTCGGTATCCTTCCAAATCGCTCCCATCATGTTTTGAACCACATTTGCTTTCTAAACTAAAAATGAGGGAAAGCAAACTTGTCCGGCTTTGGGATGGAGCAAAGGTAAGATTCTTGAAAGAGATTTTCTATTTAAACCCCACACTTCTCTTAGTTCACCCCATGTTCTAAGTTCACCCCAACTTTTAATTTAAATTTTCACAATTTCTAAGTAAACCTCACTATCTTCCCAAACCACCCTTAAATACATCCCAATCTGAAAAAATAAGAAATAAAAGAGATTTCATATTTAAACCCCACAAGGAGAAAATACGTTCTGAGCATGAGAAATAGTAAGTATTAAATTATTTTTTTTGATGATATTTCAGAGTCTTATTCATTGTCTGTTTTCAAGTGCATAAACATACAATTTAACTTAAGTCCACAAGCTTAGCCCATTCATGTTTACACTGAAAAACTTCACGTGGCTTGTTTGACATTTGAATAATTGTCCTTAAAAGAATTCCTTCAAGTTTCAAACTGATATAAATTGTTGTTGCTTCCTATTCTTCCTTGAGTTTTGCAGTGCATTGGTTCATTCTGGCAGCATTCTTATTCGTGCATGTATTAATCTTTTATACTCAAAGTAATTTGTTTTCTGAATCTAAATTGGACCCAAAAAAAAAAAAACACAGCTGCAGACAAAGCAATCCATTGCTCATAGCCAAAGTAGAAGTACTTGTCTTTTGATATACGACGAACCCAGCAAATTGTAGGACCATTATCAAAGCTTGGGCTTCTTCTCTCCCTCTTCTCAGCAGGATAATAAAAACCCAACTTAACAATATTCCCATGAATCTCTTAGTTTCGTGCCTTTTGAACGTGTATGTCAATTAATATAATATGAAGAAAAATTCAATACTTTCTAGAGAAAGAGAACAGTTTTCAAAGAGGTAGGCTCTTCAATGTTCTACGTCTTTAAAAGAGAAACGTAATATGGCATAGGATGTAGAAGAGTTTGTATTTTTTTAAAACTTAATTTGAAGAGTTGTGGGGTGTGTGGGGTGTGTGTATAGATGTACTAGGGTTAATTATTAAGTTGGATGACCTTTTTTGTCTTTTTACACAATAATAAAACTTACAGCTTAATGATTTAAGTATTGGGGTGAATTAAGAGGAGTGTGGGGTTTAAATAAAAAAAATCTTCTTGAAATACGGCATTTTGTAATTTTTTTAATTATAATTATATTGAGTATGGTTGTATTGTACCTTGTTTTAACTTGCAAGGTTTTTTGAAACTTATAATTCTACAACTTTTATGTACTGGCAGGATTTTCCGAATTTGAAATATATGGATCTTAGTAACTCTGATAAATTGACCAGTATCCCAGATTTCACACGCATTCCAAATCTTGAGAAATTGAATCTGGGCGGTTGTAAGAAATTAGGCGAGGTTCACCTGTCTATTGCAGTTCACAAAAAGCTAAAGGTTTTAAGTTTTTATCAATGTAAAAGTATACAGTGTCTCCCAAGTGAGTTGGAAATGGATTCTCTTGAATTCTTTAGTCTTTCGGGCTGCTCAAAAGTGAAAAAGATTCCAGAATTTGGGGAACATATGCAGAACTTGAAAACGATTGTTCTATGTGAGACTGCTATCAAGCATATACCTTCATCAATTGGACGTCTGGTTGGCCTTGTTTGTCTAGATATACATGATTGCAAAAGTCTCTTGGGTCTACCGAGTGCGATATGCAATTTGAAGTCTCTTAAAAGCCTCTATGGCTACGGATGCTCAAAAGTTGGCATGAAAAATCTCAAAACTCTATCCCTTAGTGGATCAGTTGCTTCAAGGGATGGCATTGGGTGGGGCGTTGACCGCATATTTGGAATTAGAAAGAATCCTGACCCTGAGCGTTGGGGTTTGGTGTTGCCCTCTCTAAATCGTTTAGGGTCTTTGACGAAATTAGATCTGAGTGATTGTAATATTGGTGAAGGAGCCATTCCAGATGATATCGGCTGCTTGTCTTCTTTAAAAGAGTTGGGCCTTAGGGGAAACAATTTCGTTAGCCTTCCCTCAAGCATTAGATTCCTTTCTGAGCTTTGGATTCTTCGATTGCAGAGGTGCGAAAGGCTTGGGCAATTGCCAGATCTTCCGCCAAAGAGATCCCCATTATTTGTACATGTAGACGACTGTACTTCCTTAAAAAGGCTGTCAGATCCATCAAAGTTGAGCGAAGGAGCCAATGTGTATGGTTTTATGTTTACTTGTTTTAATTGCTTCAGATTGGTTGAAGAAGAAGGCTGGATTAATAGAATATTTGCAATGATAATGGGATTGGCCGCTGAGGTACACACACACTCTCTCTCGCTGAATGAATATATTTTATATATATATATATATATATATATTCGTGGTTTTCTTTCTCTATAGTAAGTAAATATAATTGTAATTCTTTTAGTACAGGTAAGGTATCATGATGACCGTATTGTATGGCCTGTAAGTGAAATTCCAGATTGGTTCGATAATCATTGTGTGGGAGATTCAATAATTGTGGAGCTGCCACCACAAACATGTAGTGACTGGGTTGGGATTGCTTTATGTGTTGTTTTTGAAGATTCTGCACATCCAGACTACAATTTTTTCCAAATTCGCTTTTCATGGAAACCGTATGATAATACTTTTATAGTCGGGGATCTTAGGTCACAACACCTTTTCGTTTTCTATTTGCCTCGCAATGGTCCCTATCTCAGGGATGCCTCAGGCAGTCATCAGTTATCATTTGAAGGGCAGTATTGGTCAAAAGATTCTGGGAAAAAAGAACTGAAAACAAGCTCGATTATAAAGAAATGTGGAGCCCGTTTGGTGTACAAGAGAGATTTGGAAGAACTCAGCCAAATACTGAAAATCTCGAAGCCAGTAGTATATGGATACGATGACGAGGCAGGCCCAATTGATAGTGGAAGTGGTGGCTCTGATGAGGAAAACTAGTGTTATTCACAAAGTTTCAAATTTATGAGAATGAACCAACCACAAGTTCTCAATCAGCGAAAACAGTATGATAACATCCACAATGGGCTCTCTAAACCACCTCCTTAGACTAGGAGCTCCTGTAGAAGCTCCTAAATCCGAGGAGAGAGAAAGGACTCCTAGTGGCTTCCTATAATTTAATGCTATTTTATTTAATGAGTATTTCAAACTTTCATTTAATGCTAACTATTTTTTATTTTATTTTTTAATAGAGATGGACCAATAAAAAAAGAGTTATAACATTTATGACTCCAAATTAGAGAGTATGGTTGAAGTTGAAATTTTTTAGAGAGCTCATAAAATAACTTTCGTATATTCTTAACCAAATTTTAGTTAAGAAATAGAGAGCACCATTGTGGATGTTCTTAGTAGCAACCATGAGGCAAAACTTGAGACAATGCAATCATCATTTTTGGAAACAGAAAAGGAAGCTGTCTGTATATTAGGGGAAATAATTAAAGTGGACTGCTCTCTGGAGAGTTTGCTTTTTGGGTTTTGTGGAGAATGTGGTACCAACCTTCGAACCCAAGACCACTAGGCAGTGCAAGCGCACTTTATCACAGAGGCAGGTAGAAGGCCAGTCTGGAGAGTCTACTCCCCGGAACTCAGCGCTCTCTCTCGCTCTCTCTCATTCGCGCTCTCTGTCTCTGTCTCTGTCGTTCATTTTCTCCATAGAAATCGAACTGAGATCTCTCTCCGCTGGGTTTCTCTTTCTCATATCAGTTAACGGTAAGCATCCTCTTCCTTTGAATTTAGGGTTTATTCTTCTAAACTAAATTTAGAGTTTTTTCTGTTAAATTAATGATGAGGAAAAACAAGCAATTGGTGGCATTCTCAAAGTTCTAAATTTGACTGCGTCATTCTGTCTCTGTTCATTGTTCTTGTATTAGGTAGGAGGAGAGAGAGTAATTCTCTTGTTACATCTTGTTTGTATAGTTTGCAGGATGTGCTGTAATTTTCTGTTCCTCTATTTAAACTGCTCTGTCAGATTTTATTGTTTTCAGAATGAAATGAACCTAGTCACCTAGTGCTATTCTATAAACAGATAACTCCGGATAATGTACTGAAAACAGACAAGTAAGCTTCTGTATGCCATGAAACTGCACACTGTAAATCAACATGTTTGGTAACTGAGGAGTGTCTTGTTGTGCTTAGATGGTTTCTGCTGTAGGCTCAAGTCCGCATATTGTATACAGTTTGTTGGTCAGGTTATCCCCAAATTTGAGATTTACTTTAACTATGGGTTCCATAACAATGAAGTTGCACAAAAATTGCTCTTAGAATATAATCTTTTGAAATAGTTTTGTCTGAAAATGGACTAAGCCTTCATATAGCTACTTGTACACACAGAAAACAGTAGAACAAATCCTAAAGTATATATATGCTATAGATTTACAAAACAAACTTGCGCTCTGCTTCCATGACTTCATTTTCCCTAAATTGTTTGTCCTTTTCCTGCATTCGAGATATTTTCTGAGTGGATATGACTTGGATTAACTTGTTAATTTCAATGTGTTAGAATATTTACTTCCTATAGGCTTTGAGTAAAAGAACATTTTCAGAGCAACCTTTCAATGCGGTGCTATCAAACTGTTGCTATATTGAAATAATGCGTGGAAATTGTTAGTATAGTTCTGAGTCTTCCGACCAAAGAAAAAAGGGGAAAATGATTAATAATGACGAAAGAATGTGTGTGAAATCTTGGAGAAAGGATGAAAGAATAAGAGCGTGAGAGAGGAATACTGCTTCTGTAGATCTCTCTAGAGCTAAGGTTACAAGGAATATGGAGATATGGACAAGTGTTGGCCTGATAGAATCAGTCGTTTTCCTTAGATTTTCTAGAGTAATGTTGGGGTCTTGTTATTGTGAGGTCAGCTCCATGCTTTGCTGTATGCTCTTGGTTCAGCTGACTATCAGTGTGAAGGTTAACAATGAGAATAGCTAGGCTAATGGCCAATACAAGAATAAAAATGTATATGTTTTAGGCATACAGTTTAGAAATAAGATTTATTTGCTACTCTAATTCTCAATGGAACATATAAATCAAGCATAGTATGAGATTGAAGAAACAAGATAGCAGAAAATATACTTGATTAGTTCTTTATTTGAGATATTGTAAAATTGGTTTTGAAAAAAAAAATTAAAAATATTGAGACGTAAAACAAATTTCTGGGTCATGTTGTAGGTTTTATTAGTTAATACACAGAATAACAATAATGTAACTTGAGATGCAGTGTTTTGGCCCTTTAATATATTTCAATTGAAACTCGTCCCTTCATCTTACAATACCCACTTTTTATGCAGATGAATTGGGAGAAACTTATGAAGATGGCCAGTGCAGTTCACACTGGTGGAAAGGGTAGCGTGAGGAGGTGGGTGAAATTTCAGCTTGAAACTCCTTTTCTCTACCAAGTTGATTCACAGAGGCGGAAGTATCAAGTTTTAGCCTTACTGGTTTTGAGTTAAATATATGTGCAGTTGTTAATTTATATGTGTGCCAGTTTCATGTCTGATATGCATTAAATTGAGCACCTGATCAAGTATTTTACTTCATCAAATTATTGATTTGCAATTTGAGTTCATTATGTGAAGCAGTTAGCCTGATGGCATGTTGAGTGGATTGTTGTCTTTTGTTGTTTTACCATGTTTATTTTATCTTATTCTTGTAATTTTTTTTTTTTAAGATGAGAAATACCTTAATTTTTAGAGTTAACTGCTTTTCCCGGGGGGACAGTTTTTTTAATATCAATTTGTATAACATGCAATCTTTATGTGGTGAATTGCAAACTTAAGTACAATAATCATTTATTGTATGCTGCATTTGGTGCATTAGCTAGTCTAAAGTTCCTCGTTAAACCAGATGATTCCCTAGCTTAAAGAGCCCATAACAGAAAGGTTGTCTCCAATAGACTTAGTGTAATTGTTTTTCCAGTAGAGAGCCTACTCTGGTGGAGAGTGTGATGGGTTCTTCTGCTCTTCTGTATTCTATATTATCTAATGGTGTGTTCTTCTTCTCTTTAGATAGGATTGTTAAACAATTGAGTAGGCAAAAAATAAGAAAGTAATTCAAGTAGTTAAAACTGAGAATTGTTGGAGTTTACCTCAAATAAGCCATCTAATGCTCTCTGCTGCGGAGAAAATGCTATTTCTGATGTACACAGCATTGTCGGGGAATGGTCATTTGGACTTAGACTGCCCTTGAAGTCATTTTATGACCAGTTTTCATTCATAAGTTTTGCACATTCCTGCAATTGTTTGTAATTAGCAAATGTTTGTTGTGTGATCTTCATCTTGTTTGTACGTGATTTTGTTTATTAATTTAATTTCCCAACTTCAGAAAGAAGAAGACTGTTCACAAGACAACTACCACAGATGACAAAAGGCTTCAGAGCACCATTAAGAGAATGGGGGTGAACGCTATTCCTGCAATCAAGGAAGTTAACACATTTACGATGATGTTGTCATCCAGTTCATGAACCCCAGAGGTGAAGCTAACATGCCAGAACTCTGATCCTGTAAATTATTATTTTGATTTTCCTTGTACATTTCAGTTCAAACAAAGAGTATGCCACTATTTGTTATCTATCTTTTAAATTTGAAGTGATTATTTGACTTGTTAACCATTTTGGTGTCGTCCATATTTTAAATGTAGTAGTAATTTATAAAAATGGATAGAATATTGGTGTTGTGTTCTTCTTTAGTGTATTTACCCAATGATTTTATTCCGAGGTTTAGCTGTCAATATGTGCCTTGAATTGGAATTTTTTTTTTCAGTGTTGTATTATCTGGTAAGGCAACGCACATATATACATGTTTAGATGTGTTTGTGCCTGGATTTTCTGCTGCGCATTGAGCCTTTTATTTGGCCTTCTCTGCGCTGTCTTTGTCCCACAACAGCAGCAAGGGCAACGGCAAGTCTTTGTTCACGCAGTCACCTCCCATTACCAATTCAAAAGCCTGTTCAATCCCATCACCGAGGAGAAATACAATCAAAATTAAAAAAAGGGGAAAGAAATTGAAATACAGTGGAGGCGATTAAAAGATGCAAACCTTGTTTCTATGTCAAAGTCCATGAATAGATGTAATTGCGCCATTTTGTTGTTATAGTCCTGCAATGCACACAGTCATCAGCTTCACCCAAGCAGCTCCGGGTGCCAATTCAAATCCACCATGAACCAATCCATAAGCTCGAACGTAGAACCCAATCAGATGATAAACCATCACACAAAAGGCTTAATCTTGGTCCAAAAGGGCAATTCGAGGATATGGTTCTTACCTGAAATGCTTTGGTGAGGTTGCAAAATCACCTTTGTCCTCATGCTCAAACCCTTCAACAACAAAAAAAGAATAAAAGGAAATTTTCATTGTAATTCCAAGCACATGCAAGAAAGAACAAAGACACCAAATTTTCAATCCAACATAATCATAGAACAAAGACTCAAACTTTTGCCTTTATGTCCTTGAGTATCCACAGAAACCCAAGTGATTTCAATAAAAAGTACTAATGTTATTAAGTGGGTGACTTCAAACGCTCTTATAAGAATAATTTGTGAACTCCTACTCGCAAAACAACAGTAAAATGTTTAAAAAGATGAAATTTTCTGTTTTTTTCTTGCTTTTTCTTAGCAAACAAACAGAGGGTAAGTAGGTTTCTACATATTTTATACAGTGTTAAATCTGATTTTTTGTTTGAATGATCTTATATTGAAGCAACCATCTTTACCTTCCACCTGAGAGACTGGTCGATTAGTTCAGAATATAAGCTCCAAATCATATTTCCTGTTAGATGCAGACAGAGAGGGAGACACAGAGATCTTGCCTGCTTAATAATTTTTTGTTTGAGATCCTCAGAGAGACCGCCGGTCCTAAACGATTGATCATGTCATTGTCGGACGGCTGTCGTTGAATCTCAGAGGAGGCGCGATCGGGAGATACAACGGGTGAGGCATCAGAACCGTTCGTCGGAGACGGTGGGGGCGAGTCGGTGCTTGTGATGATGACGGTGGAGGCGGGGGAGAGAGAGGAAAAGAGTCGGGGAGAGAGAGAGAGAGGTCTGGGATGAAGGGAAGGGTGTGGGGCTGATTAGAGGTTTTCCTTCCCTCAGCGACTCCAACAAGTCCCGAAGAGAAGGGAACAGAGCTCAAGGGTAAAAGGGGCAAGCCACTGTTCATAATCCTACAGAAGGAAGAGACCAACCATTTAAGCGGGGGCAAAAACGTCATTTTACTGTTACCATGAACTTAGCTCGTTTCTGTCTAATGTGAGAGAGGTTTCTGCAAAACTTGGTACTCTAGTTAATCTACAAAGACTTCTTCTTTCCCCAATTTTAAAAGAAAATATTATCCAAGAGTTTGGTTTGGTATAACGAAGCTCTTGGGCTCTTCAGTCAGAAGGCCTTTAAGAAAAGTCAGCCTGAGGAAGGTTTCTTGGAATTGTCTAAGTGTTTCCCACAATCAACAATGTGTCGAAGGTCTTCCATTAGCTCTTAAAACATTTCTAGTCGCATTGTGATAGATATTCTTATTGAGAAATCTCTCTTAACTATTGAGAAAAACTATTTTTGCAGTCTTCGTGGCTGCTCAAAAGTGAAAAAGCTTCCAGAATTTGAGGAACATATGAAAAATTTGTTCAAGCTCATTTTAAAAGGTACTGCTGTTAAGAAAATTCCTTCATCAATTGAAGGTCTGGTTGGCCTCGCTGTAGAGGGTATGTACAGTCACAAAAGTCTCTCGGGTCAAATACTCATGCAAAGATCCTCAAAACTTGTCAAGCTGCCATGGGAGGTGGAGTGTTTAGAGGAGCTTGAATTAAGTGAATGTGCTATGAGAGAGCTGCTTGTTTTTATGAAACATATATCTATCCTTTTGTGGATCATCAACTTCAAGGGATGCTTTGGTGAGTTTTAAGAGGAATGTTAAGGTCTTGACATTGTCGATTTAGAAGTCATCGATGCTTTGGACCCAAAGTGTGTTCTCATTAACATTGGAAGAGGTCCTCATGGTGATGAACCTGCTGGATGGCCAGTTATAGGTGGGAATATTCTTCTAAACAAAGAGTTGGGAACTTGCTTGGAAGTTGATTACACTTTGGTATTGGACGTGTTCAACTCTTTCTTAGGGATTTCCTCAATTCTTAGTTTCTTGCCTGTCTTTTTGATCTCTTCTTGAGAGGTTCATTGGTTTTATTATTTTATGGCTTGTGATACGCTGTTCATCGCGAAATTTGGCTGAGCAAGATTATTTTAATAGCCATCTAACTTATCTCCGGCTCAATTCATTATTGCATATGCAATTAGATTACACCACCATGCGACATAGTTTCCATCTCTCTGTATTTCTCTCTCTCTCTTCCTTTATTTCCCCTGTTTTTCATCTATTCCTACAACTTTCGTATTGAGTATTTTCTGAGAGTTTGCAAAACAAGATTTCTAGGGACTTATTTTCTTTTCCAATGGCCTTCAGCACCCAAAGAGCCTCTACATCTTGTACTTCAGCTGAATCGGCTCCTCCATATTGGAAGCATGATGTGTTTTTGAGTTTCAGGGGAAAGAACACTCGCAGGGGCTTTTATATCTCATTTATACCACGAACTGCAGTACTGGCAAGCAATAAAAACTTTCAAGGATGACCGAGACCTTGAAATAGGAGCAAGTATTTCTCTGGAGCTGTTGACTGCAATCGAACAATCACATCTTGCCATCATTGTTCTCTCCCCAAATTACGCTTCTTCCACCTGGTGCTTGGATGAACTTTCAAAGATTCTTGAATGTATGAAAGACACCAAGAGAATTATACCAATCTTTTATAAGGTCGGTCCTTCCGATGTGCGAAATCAAAGGGGGAGTTTTATGGAAGCGTTCACTAAGCATGAAGAAAAGTTCAGTGAAGATGTAGACAAGGTGAAGCGGTGGAGAGATGCTTTAAAAGAAGTTGCCAATCTCTCTGGGTTTGTTTCAAAGAATTATCAGTAAGTATGCATGCATGAAACGTGCCCAACAAATTTAGAGAGCTTTACTTGGACGCTAAGTTTTAGTTCTTCCTTTGATGCAACATCCTTGTTAATTATGTGTAATGTGTACCCTCTTGATAGTTAGTTTACTTTTCTTCCTTGTAGGTGTGAAAGAGAGCTTATCAAAGTCATTGTCGAACGTGTGTGGACCAAAGTTACTCCATTTTGGTTGTTAGATTCTCAAGAGAAGTTAGTCGGAATTGATTTTGCCCTTGAGCAACTACGTTTGCAATTAGACCTCAAGGCAAATGACATTCGATTTATAGGGATATGGGGGATGGGTGGGTTAGGCAAAACAACCCTTGCTAACCTAGTTTTTGAAAGAATTTCCCATAATTTTGAACTTAGCTCGTTTCTATCTAATGTGAGAGAGGTTTCTGCAAAACATGGTACTCTAGTTGATCTACAAAGACAACTTATTTCCCCAATCTTAAAGGAAAATATTATCCAAGTTATGGATGAACGGTCAGGAATCTCTCTCACTAGAAAATGTTTATGCAATAAAAAGGTCCTTATTGTCCTTGATGATGTAGATCAATTAAAACAACTTGAAACACTGGTTGGAGAGAAAAATTGGTTTGGTTTGGGGAGTAGAATTGTCATCACAACTAGAAATGAACGTCTACTAGTTGAAAATGGTATAATGATAGCATATGAGGTCAAGGTACTAAATGATGATGAAGCTCTTCGGCTCTTCAGTCAAAAGGCCTTTAAGAAAAGTCAGCCTGAGGAAGGTTTCTTGGAATTGTCTAAGTGTTTCCTACAATATGCCAAAGGTCATCCATTAGCCCTTAAAACTTTGGGAATTCTTTGTATAGGAGATATCAAGATACATGGAATAGTGTGTTGTGTAATCTAAAGAAAATTCATGATCCAGAAATTTTTGATTCACTCAAAGTAAGTTATTATGGACTAAAAGAGATGGAGAAGAAAATTTTTCTCCATGTTGCATGTTTCCATAAAGGGAAGTATAAAGAGGAAGTTATTAGAATACTAGATATGAACCATGACATTTCTAGTCAGGTTGTGATAGATATTCTTGTTGAGAAATCTCTCTTAACTATTGAGAAAATCCACTCTCGTTTCGACACTGTTGAGATGCATGATTTGATACAAGAAATGGCATGGGAAATTGTTCGTCAAGAGTCTATCCAAGAGCCTGGTCTACGCAGTCGTTTGTGGCTTCGCGATGATATCTCTCATGTAATCATGAACAATACGGTAAGAAGTTATGTAGAAATATTATGTTTGGAAGAAAATATATGTCATTTCTTTTAAAACAATATTAAACTTGATGCAATTTACCTTCTTTTTTTTCTCTCTTAATTGTTAGGGAACCGGAGCAATTGAAGCAATTGGCTTGCATTTGCCAAAATTAGAAGAGGTGCATTGGAATTGTACTGAAGCCTTCTCTAAGATGCATGGATTAAGGCTTCTTGAATTTGATAATGTGATCTTTCTTCAGCCCCAAAAGATCTTCCAAATTCCTTAAGAACTATCAGTTGGAGTTGGTACCCTTCTAAATCACTCCCATCAAGTTTCGAACCACTTTTCCTTGTTGAACTAAAGATGAGTCACAGCAAACTTTCCCAGCTTTGGGATGGAGCAAAGGTGAGAGATTATTGAAATATGGCATTTTAGAATTCTTTTATATACATAATTTGGATATAATTGTAACTTGTTCAACTAAGGGTTTACTTTAAATTATTATTTTACAATTTTTATGTACTGTACAGGTCTTGCCAAACTTGAAATGTATGGACCTTAGTTTCTCTGACCAATTGACAAGTACCCCAGATTTCACAGGCACTCCAACTCTTGAGAATTTGTGGCTACAACGTTGTACGAAATTAGTTGAGGTTCACTCGTCTTTTGCAGTTCACAAAAAGCTGAAATATTTGCAACTTACGGTGTACAGGTATTAATAGTCTCCCAAGTGAGGTGGAAATGGATTCACTTAAAAGTTTTGATCTTTCTCAGTGCTCAAAAGTGAAAAAGATTCCGGAATTTGTGGGACAGATGAATAGGTTGTCATTTCTTTTTTTAAGCGGGACTGCTATTGAGGAAATACCTTCATCAATTGAACGCTTTGTCGGCCTTGTTAGACTGGATATAAATAATTGTGAAAGTCTCTTGCGTCTACCGAATGGTATATGCAATTTGAAGTGTCTTGCAAAGCTGGGTATGGAGGGATGCAGAAAAATTGACAAAATGCCAGGGCAGATGGAGTGTTTAGAGCGGCATGATTTAAGAATAATTGCTATGAGAGAGCCGCTTGTTGCTAAATCATCAACTCCAAAGGATGGCTTATTTAGAAAGAGTCATCCTGACCCTGACCTAGAGGTGTCAAACGGGTCGTGTCGTGCCGGTCCATCCCATTTAAACTCGTGCTTTTAACGTTTTCGTGTCGGGTCGGACCGGCCCATTTAGTAAAATTATTGATCCCGGCCCGGCCCAAAGCCCATGTCCATATTGAAACGGGTCGGGCCGGGCCGGGCTCGTGTCGTGCCCGTGCTCGTGCTCGTGCCATACTCGGGCCTAAGAACCAATCCATTTAATTTGAATTTTTTTCACTTCATTTTTTTTTTCACTAGATAATTCAAATTATAAACATTAAAAATATAATTAGATGCAAGAAATGATGAACTATTTGAAAACATTAATCAATCAAACATCCAAACAATATGAAAATGGCATAGGGCAAAAAGTGTCAAACTCTACAAAGTCCACTTCAAGTTTTCATCTTTAAACAACTTATTATTT